TATGTCCATCATCCAGTGGCTGAATGTCACCATTCCCATTTCAAAGGGGAGAAATATGACCACAGAAAGAAGGGATGGTGCCAAAGCTGGACTGTAAAATCGAGTTGGCAAACCCACCCTGCAGCCCCCTATCCAGCACCTGGCATGTGGCACAGTGAAGTTCTGTCCAAAGGGTGACACAGGGCTCTGCCACCATGGATTTGCTGGCTGCAGCCCCCATGGCCTCTCTTCCCACATATCTCTGCTGGATTCAGAGTTTCCCTCAAGATGTCCCATGCTGTTGGCATCTCTAAGTCCCAGGGTCTTCACTGCAATGCCACCTCCATTCTCACATCTCCACACTTTGTCTTCTCAAGGGCTGCTGCAGGGATTCAGCCCTGATGCACCCCGCCTGGCCTTCAGGTCCTCTTTGAAATCTCAGTGGAAACTCATGACCCCCAACTCCTGCATCCTGCATTCCTGCAGAACCAGCTCCATATGGATGATATTCATGTCTGCCATCATCTTGAGCTGTCACCAAGCCTCTTGGGACTAAGGATATACCATCCTCAGAGTGCCTGAGTGGCTGAGCACAGGAAACTACTTCCTAGGAGCCCCCATGCAAGCAGGGTGTCCTATGGTCTCTTTTCAAAGGAAATTTAACTTTTACATCTTTAATGGTGACATTGGTGTGGTCCTGCCAATTCCTGAGATGTCCCCAAGCCATTTTTTCCATTGTTCATGTTCACAGCACTTGTCATCTCCCATGCTGAGCACCTGCTGTGAAGAGCCAACACCTGAGCCAGGAACCAAGCTCCTGACCCACCTGACCTGCAGGGCCTCACCACTACCATCCTCCTGCTCCTGTCCAAGTTCATGGTTTTAGATAAAAATTCACCCCACCTGCTCCCTGAGACGGTTTCAAGCTGTCCTGTGTGCATCTGGTGTCTGGGACTCCGTTAAGGGCAGATGCAGTGTGGGAAGCCGTGTGTGCTGGGGCTGCAGGGGCAGGTCCCTTCCCTTCCTCAGCACCCTGCAGAGGCTGGGAAGAAGGGCCAAGTGTGGCAGTGGGGTTGGAGCCTGGGCACCCCTGGGGCACTCTGCACTGCTCCTCATCTGCCCTGGCCCAACTGCTGAGCATGGAAACTCTACCTGGGAACCCTGGGAGACCCTCAGCAGCTCTGGAAAGTTTTTTCATGGGAAGAATGAGGCTGGGTTGGCCTCTCTAGACAGGAGCCCTCAGCCTCCGTCACCTTTGAAACTGACCCCCTCAGGGTCTCTCAGGCCCCTTGTCTTCTCTGGCAAAACCCCAGCTTTTGCATATCCTGAGAGTTACTCACCTAGACGCCAGCTCCCTCAAGACTAATATGTTTTCTGAATCCCTGGTGCAGTGTGCTCTTCTATATTTAACTAGTTGAACAACTTACTGAGGAGAGGGACCATTTGAGTTTCCTACAGAATCTGCCTTAGTGATGGATGAATGTGGATCGCTTTCATCAATCTGGGATTCTACACCCTAGATCTCCCAAGTTGCTATGCCTCAAGTCAGCCACTAGATGGCAAACAACCCCACAAAGAACCCAGCCAAGGATCCTGACCTCAGAGGCCCTTGGAAAGCAGCAGAGATCCCTTCCCATGAGAGCCCTCAGGCTTGGGAATGTGCCCAGTGCCCAGGTGCATGACCGCTAGGGCTCTGTGCACAGTAAGCCAAGTCTCCTAACAGGCAAGTTTCTGGTGTTTTCTATTTTGCTTTATAACCTGTGATCATCACAACCTGAGAAGAATGTCCTCCTCTGAGGACTCATGGAGTGGGTCAGAATTAAGGTCAGCACTGGGCCTGGATGAGTGAGAGGACAGGGGCATACATCTGAAGATGATGCAGCCATGTGTGCTGTGGGTGAGTTGTCCTCATGAATCACCATGAGGGGACAAAGCCCAATGCAGTCTCCACTGTAGTGTGGAACAGACACTGGGGACCTCACATGGAGGTGGGGAAGGGAGGGGGAGGGTGGGAGGAGAAGCTGCAATGTCAGTGCTGCCATCAGGCTGTCCCCAGGGTGCTAAGCAAAGTGTGGGTCACTACTCACTCCACAGCGTCTCAGGTGGCCTCAGTGCACCTGGAGCCCCCATGGTAGGCAACATTGCTAGAGAGGGAGCTCATCTGAGGAAGATCAACTGCTCTAGACATGGGAACAGCAGCTCTGATCCTGGACTCTGGTGAACAGGTCTTCACTCCTGTGCTCCAGGCCCATTGCCCTGCAGAGTTGTTCCAGGTCCCAGGAAGATGGGCAGGAACACAAATCCTCACCAGGAGGCTGGAGTTCCAGGAAAGGTGAACGTGAAAGAGAAGTGGGACCCCACTCTCTTCACCCTCTGTGTGGGCTGAACCCAGGCCTGTGTCTGCAGGGCAGGGTCTCCACCTTGGAGCAGCATCCCCAGCCCTGTGTCTGTCTCCTTGAGAGACATTTGGATTGTTCTCAAGTATCCATAATTCAAACATGCCACAGTGGTCAGTGTTGAGCTTACAGGTCTCAGCCCTGGACACCTCTGGAGGATGAGTTTGTGTGAAAATAACCCCTGGATCCAGAAAAAACTCCCATTTGAATCCCATCAGCAGAGCATGCAAGACAAAGGTCATTCCACCAAGAACAACTGTCACCACCAGCAGGGGGTCACTCTCCTCAATGTTGGTCACCAACACAATTTTTCTTAAAATTCTGCCCTCAAATTCATGTCAAAAATAACATTTTATATTATTTGTTATTTTTATAATTTCAATGGATTTTCATATATTTATTATATATTTTAATTTTCCTTCTGTGATTTGTGCATTCCTGGTCATGACCCCTTTTCTTTGAATTGTTTATTTTTATTATTGATTTGAGGTGCTCTTTGTGAGCTATTGACACAGTCCTTTTTCTATATAATGAACTATGTCCAGTTAGGGCACTATTTGTGTTTACCTCTTTTTAGTGTATCTTAAAATGCTAAAATTTAACCTTTTAATATACTCTACTATCTGTATTTTTATTTTGGTACTGAGGATTGAACCTTATGGTTAACTACAGAGGCACATCCACAGCCCTTTTTATTTTTATGAGACAGGGCTTTGCTAGATTGAGGAGCCTGATCTTGAACTTCTGATCCTCCTGCCTCAGACTTACATGTTGCTAGGATGACAGGTGTACACCACTGTACTTGGCTTATTATCTGTATTTTTTTCATTGATATTTTTAGTTGTAGGTGGACACAATACCTTTATTTTACTTTTATATGATGCTGAGAATCAAACCCATGCTCACACATGCTCAGCAAGCATTCTTCCACTGAGCCACAAAACTAGTATGTGTCATCTGTATGTTTAAAAAGTGGTTATGCTGTTATTATCTACAGTTAACATAATATGCATTTTACTTGATGCTATGAATTCAAATTAAAAATATGAGTTAATGATATGTTGATTTAGCAATTATATCTTACATGCAAACAGACACTTTATCCATGTGTATGACATGTGCTCCTTATATTTCTAATCATCATGGACTCTGGCTATGGCAAGACTTTGAGACAGAAGGTTTGTTCACCTTCCTCTTGGCTCAGCCCCCAGGACCAGTTAGCATGTGCTGAGCTCAGCTGCCCCACAGAACTAGGCCCAGGTCTGAGCTCCCTGGCTCCCCTGCCTGGCAGCTCATCCTCAGAGCTCTGCTTCCCCAGGCCCTCAGCCCCACTGCCCAGGAGAGCTTCTTACCCAGCCAGGGCAACAGCCCAGCCCTCAGGCAGTGACAGCCTGACTCAGCCCTGTGGGAGCCCCTGCTCCAGCCTCTCCCAGTGAATCCAGGGCCTGAGTCTGCTCTGCGTGTAAATACAGGGCCCCATTTCCACCATAATAAACCAAGATGGTCACCTGAAACCAGGGTCTGCAGGCACTGTCATCCTCAGGTCTGATTCACTGAGCACCTGTTCTTTCCTGCTGTGTGTGGTAAGGACAGAAGAGCCTCTTCCAGTCAAGGTCAGGAGCAGGGGTTAGAGGGACCTGACACCAGCTCAGAGATGAGACACAAGAGGGTAAAGGAACAGGCAGCTCTGTGCACAATCTTGACCCTTGTGACGAGGGAATGTGGAGGGATTCACTCTGCATTCATCCCTGGAGTGGCTGGGGACATGTGAAGCTTAGAGCGTCTGCAGGAGCCAGTGGCAAGGGCATAGCTCCCAGAAGGCCCAGGCCATGTGCTCTGTCTGCTTTCTTGTGAGCTAGACTCCTCTAGAGCTCAGGCTGTGCTAAGGCAGCTGCTGGAGCTGTAGGAAGAAGCAGAGGATTGGGAAGTCATCAGGTTCATTCCTCTAGTCATCCCCCATGCTGATGGACCATGGGAATGTGATGAAGTGGCAGCAAAGGGGCTTATATGGGGGTCCCCAAACCAAACCAGGACCACTGAGTCCCTGGTATGAAAGACATCCAGGGGGATCTCCAAGTGGCACACTAACCAAGTAAACTTGGTATCATCTTTGTGCTTTTGCAGGACCTTGCCTGATATAAATGTAGTTCTGCTCTAGAGCCATTCCAAATGCTTTTGAATAAAGCTAAGTTCTTCCAATGCATTTTTTATTTTAAAAAATTATTTCACAATTACATAATTTCAAATGAAACCCAAGGTATACTCCCATCAGGAACATGCAAGAGCATATTAATGGCCTGAAGTTCTCCTCTGTAACACTTCACTACATATTCTCTACAAGAACTTTCTCCTACATAATCCTCATATTAGGTATGAAATACTTTGCTCAGTCCAAATGTTAAGTCTTCTTCAAAATTGGACAATTGTCCTGAAAATATCCTTAGTAACAAAATATTATCAGAGAGAAAAAGATTCTCTAAGAGGCAAATCTGAGCTACCCTGGTCTGACCTGGAACACATGGGGACACTTGGCCAGTGTTGAGGGACTGAGAAAAGCCAGCCCTGCAACTCAGCTCATGGCTGCTCAGCCTGCCCAGCCCTGCTGATTTGCATGTGCCCACAGCACAGCTCACTGCCCTGAGGACTTCTTAAGAGGCTGCTTACACCCTGTGCAGGAGTCAGTCCCTGTGAGGACACAGCATGGCCATGAGGGCCCCTGCTCAGCTCCTGGGGCTCCTGCTGCTCTGCCTCCCAGGTAAGGGGAGAAAACATTGCACAAGTTCTCAGCCTTCCAGAAAATTCTCTTGTGACATTATTAAATGTGTGTATATTTGTGTTTGTTTCCAATGTCAGGTATAAGATGTGACATCCAGATGACCCAGTCTCCATCCTCTCTGACTGCATCTCAAGGAGACAGCGTCACCATCACTTGCCAGGCAAGTGAGAATGTTTACAACTATGTTGCCTGGTATCAGAAGAAACAAGAGCAAGCTCCTAAGCTACTCATCTATGCTGCAAGCAATTTGCAATCTGGGGTCCCCTCGAGGTTCAGTGGCAGTGGATATGGGACAGATTTCACTCTCACCATCAGCAGCCTGGAGAATGAAGATGTTGCCACTTATTACTGTCAGCAGTATTACAGTTCCCCACCCACAGTGACACAGGCCATGACAAAAACCTCCCAGGGAGCAGAAGTGTGAGGCTGGGCTGCCACAGCTGCTCCTCCTGCTGCCTCACTTGCTGAGGGCACTGCTCAGAGGCAGCCAAGCTTTGTAGGTCCTTGGGTGGTTTTGTTGAAGGGGGCCATTGAGGCTTATCAGTTGCTTCTCTGAGCAGCACCAGGTCTGGGGAGAAGCTTCTGCAGTGACCAGTGGCAAGGATTGATTGCAGCAGAAAACATGTCCAGTGCCCATGCTGTTGATGTTAAGGTAATGTGTGGAAAGAAAGCATGAATTTTTGACCCTCCAATCACATGTACTATGAACAAAAGGGGGTGATGCTACACAGGAGGGAGAATTCTGGGGAAGGGTGGCCCTTAGGAGAATTTATTTTGTTGGTTATGTGTTGTGTGGGGTTGACATTCAGAAGTCCTGGTGAGTCAGACACAGTGGGCAGGTGATGTTCACCTAGGATTTTGTTCATGGTTTAAGCAAAGATTGAAGAATGTGGAAGATACTTTTGCTGTTTTTGTCCAGTAGCTGTTAACTGATGACTTCCCTCATCTTCCCACTCCATCTTCTAGTTCTTTTAATTAAATTGATGACATCTCACAATTTCCAATCAACACATCACAGATCATGATGGAAGAGGTCAACAAATGTGTCCCTCAACCAAAGAGAAACTGACTTGTTTGGACCTCAAGCATCGTGACTTTATGGCCCCTGCATTGCTACCTAGAGTGTTGAGAATCCTAATATCCTTAGGCTTCTGAGTTCCCGGGATCCCAACCCCTGGACAGCTAACATTTTAAAGGAAACTATATATCATTTCTAATATAACCATAATCCTGCCGAGTGTCTGAAAATCACTTGTGATTGTTTTGTCTAAACAAGCACAATAGCAAAATGTGTTTCACATGTGCAAGAAAGTGTGTATTACTCTAAAATGACACTGCCAACAGAAAAAATCTCAGACAGCATCTCCAAACATGGCCACAAGTGTGCATCAGTGCACAGGAGGGATGTCATACAGCCCTCCATGTTGTTCCTGGAAATCATGAGCCCAGACTGACCTGGGGTTATTGCTGTTACCACTTCACCACCCCCTGTGAGACTCACACTTTCCAGTGAAGAACCACATCATCTCCTCCTATTGCCCATTGTTCTAGCAGACTCCATGTCCCTAGGGCCATGGGCACCCAGGAAAGGTTCAGAGAGAGCACTCAGTGGGTAATTGGTGAAAACTAGTACTTCTAACACATCCAGGTAGAAGCAGGACACAGCATGGCCATGAGGTCCCCTGCTCAGCTCCTGGGGCTCCTGCTGCTCTGCCTCCCAGGTAAGGGGAGAAAACACTTCACAAGTTCTCAGCCTTCCAGAAAATTCTCTTGTGACATTATTAAATGTGTGTATATTAAATGAACATTATTAAATGCAAATGACACTACAGATGAGGGGCAAAATGACACTCAGATGAGGTGTGTGGGTCTGAGCAAATGCCTTGCTGGGGAACTGCACTTGAAAGAGGGTCCTTGTAGTGAAGGAATAGGAATGAGGACTAGGTCCCTGAAGATTGGTCTTGTCCTTGATGGGCATCAGGGTGACAGGATTAAGATGCTCCTCACTCAGCTAGGAGGAATTGCAGGCCCTTAAGGCCAGGGTTAAAGCTTTAGAGACCTGCAGACCAGATTCACATTGCTCCCAACCACAGTGTACTTAGAGCTTCAAGATGGACAGACTCTGGGTTCCCAGTTCTTCAGGATGGTGGGAAGAATGTCTTAGTGACTAAGGGAACAAAGATAAAAAGCATATTTAATCAGATCCATATCAATGATGCTATTCAGAAAATAATGGACAGGCTGTGGTGTTGCACCTCTGAAGTCCAGCAACTTGGGAGCCTGTGGCAGGAGGACTGCAAGATCAACACCCGCCTCAGCAACCTAGTGAAAATCTAGCAACTTAGCAAGATACTGTCTCAAAATTATAAATAAAAAATAAAATAAAACCAGTGGGGATGTGGCTCAATGGTTAAGTGCCACTGGGTCCAATCCCTGTTGTCAAAACAAACAAACAAACAAAAAAACCTAAATTGGCCAAACTTTTCTTTCTTTTTTTTTTTTCTTTTCTTGTCTTTTTCTTCTTTGCACAGCACTGGGCTTATAAGAGTTTGGCTTGGATTTTTGGACCAGCTGGAATTGTTAAGACTATGGGAACTCTTCAGGTGCACTTCATGCATTTTGCCTGTTGAGTCACACCTTGAGTTTCAGGGGTCCAGGTGCAGAATGCTATTGTGTGGCTTATGAGGTGTCACCTGAAAGCTCCTGTTACTGCAGGGACATTCAGAGGTGGAAGGATGAGGGCATGAAAACTGTAATTAATCCATTTAGTGGATTTATAATTCAATGGACTCACTGGGTGGTGACCAGGCATGCTGGACATTCCTGGAGAAAGGGCACTGGGGACAGGTTCTTGAAGAGTCTGTCCTGTCCCCCCGGCACCTCCATTTCTCACTCTGCTTCCTAGGCACCAGGAGGTGAAAAGCTTTTCTCATCCATGCCCTTCTGCCATGGGCGTCACTGTGGGAGCAGAGGAAAGCATTCTGACATCCGTGACCTGAAGTGAAGCTCTGAAGCTCTGGGCCCCAACTACTATTTTCTCTCCCTCCCCCAACAAGAAGAAGAAGAAGGAGGAGGAGGAAGAGGAGCAGGAGGAGGAAGAGCAGGAGGGGAGGAGGGGGGAAGAAAGAAAGAAAGAAAGAAAGAAAGAAAGAAAGAAAGAAAGAAAGAAAGAAAGAAAGAAAGAAAGAAAGAAAGAAAATGTGAAAGGTTTAACTCTTCCATGAGTATTGTCCAGTCTGAGCCTCAAACCTTATTCAAATAACTCAGGTCCTGAGCCCCCTTCCTATGGGCCATGTCCACAGGTCCAACTGCCCCACTCACCCCAGCCCAGGCTTCTCTCTCAGGTTTCCTCCAACCATGGCTTCCCTCAAGCTTGACCAGCTTTCACCCTAATAAAGTCAGAAGTAGTTTTTGTCCCCTTTTTCACTGCTGTTACCAAAAGACCTGGCAAGAATAATCAGAGGAGGACAGGTTTATTTGGGGGCTCACTGTTCAGAGTCTCAGTCAATAGACAGCCATTGACACTGCCCTGGGCCCCTGGTGAATCAGAACATCCTGGTGGAAGGGGGAGGTGGAGGAGTATGGTTTAGAAAGTGGCACCAGGGTCCAAGTGAATGACACTACAGATGAGGGGCAAAATATAGCACTCAGCCATGGCCCAAAAGACAACATACATTCTCCGTCCACACCCTGCCTGCCTGAAGTAACCACCAAGCTAATCTCCATTGGGAGATTAACATACTGATTAGGAGATCAGGTGAAGACTCTCAAAATGAAATTATTTACCTCTAGATAGCCTTGCATTGTCTCACAAATGAGTTTTAGGGGACATCTGAATTTCACATCATAAAATTATGCTCCGGTCCCCAAAAGATCATGCCCATCTGACAGTGTGAAACATACTTTGTCCATTTCCATGAGTCCCCCTAGTCTTAAGAGGTCCAGGATTGCACAAAGTCTAAATTAAGGCAAACTCTCAGTGTGAGCCCCTGTAAAAATCAAAAGCATGTTACATATCTCTAACATAGAAAGGCACAGGATTAACATACCAATTTCAAAATAAAAAAAGAGAGAAGAGAGAAAAAGTAAGAAACATTAAGGGCCTACAAAGAATGGATGGGACCAAACAATCCAGTTGGGAAAACAAGCCCTGTGGCTCCTCATCCTGCCTCTGGGGCAATGGCATTGAGATGCTCCCTCCAAAGAGCTTGGGCAGCTCTCCACCTATGGCTTTGTGAGTGGTGACCCACAGGACTTGTCTCTTGGATTGTTTCTGCTCTATCCCTGCAGCTCTCCTCAGCACAGGGTCTGTGCTTTGGTTTTTTCTCAGTTTTGGAAATCTCCACTGCAGTGTCTGCCTCCTTCCACAGTTCCATGCAGTGCCCTCTCTCAGGGGCAAGTCCTCCAGGGACTCCAAAATTTAGGCACTTTGTCTGGCCACCCAGGAATCCCTGTGAAATCTGGGTGGCAGCATCCATGAACCCCTAACTTTAGAATCCTTCATTCCTGAAGAACCAGCACCACGTTGTTGATACCAAGATGTGTCACCATCTTGAACAGTAGCCCAGGGTCCAGGGACTACGTCTGCCTCAGCCTCTGAGTGTGTGGGTAGGTGAGCATGGAGAAACTGCTTCCTTCACCCCCAGGCCCACTCAAATTAATCTGAGTTGTATATTCCAGCAAAAGTTTGTACAGAAATATGTTTGTTAGATTCTCATTAATATCATGTTTATTCCATTATCAACATGTCATTTAGAAAAAAAGAAAAAAAAATGTTTAAATCTAGGACAACAATGCCTTATATATGGAAATAACCTATTTTACACTGTTGGCTTATTCCAAGTTGAAGATTTCAATTTTTAATCTAACTGTATGACACAAAGAAAACAAATTTCAAAGGTGGCTATAGCTCATCTTCAGATTGCACTTCTACACCTGTGCACAGAGTGAACACACATACATCCAAGCTTGTATGCATGACACCTGCACAGTCCCCTGAGTGTGCCCTGCATCTGCCACCCACTCTCCTGAGCAGGACACTCACCAGGCCCTGAGGTGCAGCATCTCACAGCACCAGCCCACAGGGAGGGCAGCCTCCAGGTGCAGCAGGAGTAGCTGCAGAGCCCAGGGGATGCTGGACACCAGGCTGGGCTCAAGGGGGACAGGGCAGAGCCTTGGAGGAGGCCAGGAAGGCCTGCTCCAAAGCATGGACACTTATGTGCAAAGTCCATCCAGGGCATGGCCACGATGCCCACAGAGACAATTTGTCACTCCTTGCTGAGGGCTCAGGCCTAAGAGGACTTCCAGGGAAGGGCCACCTTGTGCTCTGCAAAACAGACACTAAGGTACTGTCCTGCCCTCCTGATTGCCAGGATGGTAGTAAAATCCCTCCCAACCATCCTGCATCCTGACACCACCTACTGTCTCCTGATCCACCAGGGCAATTCCTCCTGCTTTTGCCCAGTGATGTCCCTCTCACTATCCATCAAAAACGTTGAGAGAGGACTCACTTCTGGTAAAGTGAGAACACACAAGGTCTCACTCATGTTAGTCTTTCTTTCTGTGTCCCAGGAGACAATCCCTTACTAACTCAGCAAGAGTATTACCAGGGTCCAGCCTGGCACCATAAAGACCAGGCCTGGCTGCTGAGCTCTTGCTGTCTCCTGCTGCCCTCTGCACACCCTGCCTGCCTGGGAGGGATTTGGGGCAGGGACATAGGTCATTCTGGCCACCAGCAGCCACACTTCCTTCAAGGAACACAAACTTCTTCCTGTCAACACAAGGGGACAAACCTCCACTCAGATGCTGCTTGTGCACAGGGCTGCTGACAGTCTGAGGACACTCAGAGAAGCAGGTTGGGGACAGCTGTGAAGTCATACCCTCCCTCCCCCTCCCATCCCTTCTTTTTGGATCCTGGCTCCAACACTGTCTCTCCTCTGCCCTCCTTCCTGGGTCTTCTCTGTCCTGTCCCCTTCTACTCTGAGTTCATACCTGTCACTTCTCACTCCCCACATGGCTGTCCTCATATGGGTCACAACCCTGTTCTCCTGTACATATTGGCCCTTGGCCTGCCTCTGACTCCATCCCTTGGATTCTCATGGGAGAGTCAAAGGTGGTGCCTGGTGGTCTTTAGAGACCATAAAGGAGAGCAGTAGATGTTCAGGGCTGTACATGGGTCTGCCATGGTCCACGGGGAGCAGAGTCCCTGCATCATGTCAGCTGTGACCTGCCAGAATCACCTCTGTTTGTCCAGTCAGAGGGGTGGCCAGCAGCAGCTGTAGATGGGTTGTCCTGTGGACATGCAGTCACTGAGCAAGCTGTTCTGCCCTATGTGGGGGAAGGCAGCAGAAGGAGCTGCACTTGCCAACTCTGGACACAGAACTTCTGTCCCCTTGGAGTCAAGAACAATTGCTCATCTGTGTGACATCTCCTCCTATCTGTAACCATAGCTCCATGGGTCACCCAGTGTCATGAGGAAAGGGAAGGTCACTGTTCCAGGCAGCAGGAGGACCCTGTGCAGATCCTGAACTTCATGGTGCTCATTCTCAGTCCTAAGAGTGGAGAGGCCACCATGGGTTTAGGCAAGAGATGCCAGCTTTACCTGCCCAGGCTCAGGGTGTCTGAACTTAGAGTCCCATGGGCAGGATGGCACACATCTATAGTTCTGGATACCTTGAGACTGAGGGCACCCCAGAAAAACTATAGAAACACTGTATATAAATAAAATGAAAGTGATTTGGATGTAGCTCATTGCTTGCCTAGCATGTAAGAGACTCTGGGTAGATTATCAGAACTGACAAAGTAACAAAGAAAAAATAAAAATAAATAAAATCACACATTAAACTAAAAGTCATGGCATATCTATGTGCATACAAATACTCATACTAGAGATGCAGAGTAAACACAGACATATCCACATAATTTATCTCCTAAATATTATATATGTGTCATATAATATTCCTTTCATTCATTTCTAAGCCAATTGGACTCTGGCTGAGATGAGGCTCTGGTGGGTCTTTGCTGACCCTCACAGCTCAGGGGGCTGAATGTGTCCTGTGGCCCCAGGGAACCATGTTCCCCCAAGCAAATCTGAGCTACCCTGGTCTGACCAGGGCCATCTGGGCACACTGAGCCTGTGTTGATTGACCAGGAGGAGCCTGCCTTGCAGCTGTGCCCAGCCTGCCTAGCCCTGCTGATTTGCATGTGTCCACATCACAGCCCAATGCCCTGAGGACTTCTTAAGAGGCTGCTCACACCATGTGCAGCAGTCAGTCCCTGTCAGGGCACAGCATGGCTATGAGGGCCCCTGCTCAGCTCCTGGGTAACCTGCTGCTCTGCCTCCCAGGTAAGGAGGGACAGCACTGGGGATTTACTAATCACAGTGTGGTCAGTGCTGCCTGGCTACTCAGGAAAGTCCTCTTGGAACATTACTACTTACAAGGATATTTCTTTTTATGTTTCCAATGGCAGGTGTGAGATGTGACATCATGATGACCCAGTCTCCATCCTCTTTGCCTGTGTCTCATGGAGACAGAGTCACCCTCACCTGCAGGGCCAGTCAGGGTATTGTCAGTAATTTAAAATGGTACCAGCATAAACCAGGGCAAGCTCCTAAGCTCCTCATCTATCTTGCAACCAATTTGCAATCTGGGGTCCTCTAGATGTTCAGGGGCAGTGGATCTGGGCCAGATTTTACTCTCACCATCAGCAGCCTGGAGCCTGAAGATTTTGCCACTTATTACTGTCAACAAGATAGCAGTTACCCTCCCACAGTAATACAGGTCATGAAAAAAACCTCCTAGAAGCAGAAGTGTAAGGCTGGGCTGCCCCAGCTGCTCCTCCTCCTCTCTCCACCTGCTGAGGGCACTGCTCAGGGGCACCAGGGTCCCAGGGCCACAGGGTGGGTTTGTGGAAGGATCCATGAGGCTCCTCTGCACCCTGACACTTTCCTTCAGCTTATCCCCAGCAGATGACCATGATAACAGCCTCAATGATATGTTACAG